AGTGTATAGGATGGAATAGGTTGAAATCTAACAAATTTTTACGCCTAACAATGAATTAAAATTTCCACGTCGGCATTTTACCATTCAAAAAATATTTACAAAATACTTGGATTTTCAGATATTTACGTATTCTTCTTAAAACCAATGACTGCGTAAATTATCTGAGTTCGGTAGATTCGTAAAATTTTGAGCGGTACAAATTGTTTAAGATTTTCAGGTAATTAGAAGCCTTGGTTAAAAAAACTGCTTGTATCTCTCGTCGAATTTGAGCATAATAATTGTAATATCTCAGAACAGACGAAAAATCTAAATAATTTTATATTCTAATAAAAATAAAGACTTCCATATCGACATTTTACTTGTTCAACAGTTTAGCGGTTCAATATTTACAAAATGTTGGACAATTCACGCAGGCATTGGTAACTTTGTAAAATACATCAATTCTCAAACTTTAACAAAATTTATAAATATTTCAAAGCAAAATTAGTTGACAAATTTTGTAGACTTGTTCAGATCAAGGGCGTTTTTTTAAAATTCGGAATATGACATTTTGTAAAATTATTCCACAAAATTTACGGATGTTACGAGTTACGACGTGAATTGCCTTACTACACGTCATGGATATTCGAGAGGCATCAAAATCTGCCACTTGGTGGCACTTGTAAGGATTTCGATCAAGTGGATGTCGCGGTATGAGGTTCGACTTCTTTACAAGTGTCGTCTCGTCTCGCTAAAATGTTGGGATTTCGCTCCGACAGGAAAAAAATGTTGTAAAAATTGTTGAAACGAAATCACGGGTCGAAATCACTTGACGTGTAAAATCTCGGATTTCTGTGAAATTGAGATCATGGTTGAAGAGGAATGAAATCGAACTGGGTGAAAGGGAGAAAATAAAATCCGGAGGGAGTGAAAGTGAAAGTCGTGTAGTGGACACGACGTCAATTGAACAATGTCACATTTGGCGTGGGATCGAGTGACCTTGTTCGAGTGGGAGGAATGTCATGTTTCTTGGCTTGTTATGAGATCAAGTAGGATACGAAAGAAGAATGTCCAGTAAAAAATTTGAAATTTCCAAGGATGAAATTGTGACCTACTTTAATTCAAAATTGGTCCAATCTTCGTTTTTTTCACTGTCGACGTTCAAAGTTGTTAATGTGTAGTTTTTCGTTTAAGAGGAAATTAATAAATTGGAAAAATCGGTAACAAAAACTGAATTGATAGAAGGCAATGTATAAGTTTTTGCGTATGTTTACGTCAAACGTAATAAAATATTTTTTTATGTGTAGTCTGGTGGAATTATGAGATTGTCGAGTTCCACTAAATCTGCACAAATCTCACAATGCCCTGTGCAATTCGGTGATATATAAAATGCAAGGTCACCTTTATTCGCAAAAAAAATTAAAATTATTATTACAACAAACTGCAAATTTTCTGCGTATATATTATTTATTTATAAGTATGTACAACCCAAGTAATTACAAAATTTATCAATTTGTTGTTTTTTAAATTGATGTTTACCTTTGGAATTTTGAATTTATCGAAATTGTTAAATGCTTTTTTTTGCAATGTGTGTATAATAATTTCAGAAATTTTCATTTTACAAAATTAATCTCTACTACAATTTTTGCCTTTGGGAGTATATCGCTCTGCTATGAAACTTTTGATACGATGAACTTTTTCCATGGTCAGAACACCAAGCAAGGAGCCAAAAATCTCTCAAAATATTTTCTCTCAAACTGATGCCACGTGTCAAAATACTACTTCCAATTTCAAAATATCTATCCCAAATTGAATAAATTTTCTGCTCAGTTTATAATATACCCTTTTTTGTGCCTATTTCGCATATTTTTTCTTGTCTATTTTCTCTCTCCTCTCTCCTTTCATTTCATTTCTCACCAAATAACCGTAACCAGATCGGTATTGCCTGCATCGTGTCTCTCTCGATCATCGATAACTGCGCATACATACAATTGCGTAAATCGGACCACTTTCTTTCATGTGATGTGTGTGGGTAGGTGTAAATCAGTGGCCGCGGATGCCGTGGGGACATCTGGGGACGTTAACATTGTAGGATAGGGGAGGGCGGGGTTTGTGTAACATGGGGAGATGATGGAGACATCGAATAACGATGGGGACATTGTCCCTCTGTCCCCACGCTTCCGCGGCCACTGGGTGTAATGTGTCGATATCCCGTTATGCAGGGAAGAATAGAAATTGAAATGGAAAACTGGATCGCTTTGTATTTTATTGAATTTCGCAAGTAAACAATTCAAGTCTTGGCTGGCTGGCGTATCATATCGGCCGGAGCTTCATTGTCCTTTCTCACATATTCGGTGTACTTGTGTGAACTCGATGATATTTGCGTATAAATAGAATCTCAATATTGGAGAAATTTTCGAATTTCAGGGGCGGGTGTATGATATAAAATGTGGGATAAGTAAGTATGAGGTGCTCACAATGCGGGGAGTATTAGCAAACCGTGTTCAACCCAGTTTTTTTATGATGGCGTGTACAAAATTGAGGGCAATTCACGCAGGCATTTGTAACATTGTAAAATCCTTAAATTCTGGAAACTTACAAGCTTTTAACAATATTTTGAGGGAAAATTAGTGTATCAATTTTTGAAAAGTTACTCAGATCAAGGGTACCTTTTTATTTTGTAAAAATCATATATTTTACAAGTTACCAAGAACGGAGAGAATTATTGCCTCAGTATTTCTGTAGATTAGTAAAAGTTTTGGCAGCTAAAAATTTTTGGAAACTTTTGGATTTTCAGGTTTTGTCTTAAAACATATTTTTAAATATGCATTCGAGCATTTTTGCAGTATCTAGAAACTCAAATAAACAAAATCTAACAAATTTTTCCGTTCGGGAACAAATTAAAATTCCCATTTCGGCATTTTATTGTTCAAAAGTTGACCAGTTAAAGAAACAAAATATATATTTGGTTTTCACATATTTGCGTACACTATTTCTAAGTATTCGCTCATTGCATCTTTAGGGAAATTGCCATCTGGTAAATTGATATTTTGCATCAAATTAGGATTTTCCAAGTCGGCATTTTGCACGTGCAAAAATACTTAAGAATATTCTGATTATCAGGTGTTTAGAAAAGTTCTAAAATTTATTTCTATCGCTTGTCATATTTTAATAGGAGAATTGCAGTCTAGACCTTAATGGTAAAAACTAATTTAAATAACCTCATTAACTTTTGTGTTTTGCAGCAAATTAGAATTTTCCTTATCGGCATTTTGCAGTGCAAAAAATATTTCGAAAACATTCGAATTATCATGTATTTAGAAACTTAAAATATATTTCTATCGCTGGTCTTTTTCTAAGTGAATTGCAGTCTCTGAAACTTAGTGATAACATGAAAACCATACTTGTTCACTTTCATTCATTTGACTGATTATGATAATGAACGATAGTGAATGAAAATGAATTTCCCGTCGTTTGAATGAAATTGACCAATGGCTTCTGTCATTTCGGATGAATTAGTGAATTTTGAATGATTGGATATTTTTTCCCCTTCATTTTTCACCTTATCCTTATTCCATAGGGCGAAATAAGAAATGAAGTCAGATGAAGTGAAGTGAAATGAATTTGAAGGAAAATGACTGAATGTGAATGAAATCTTCAGTCAGAAATCGGAATGACTAATTTTTTGAATGATAATCATTTCTTGAACAGGTGCGATGAAAACGCGAAGTCACTTGATTATTAGTTTTTAAATTTGCACCAAATTATAATTTTCCACAACGGCATTTTGCGTGCGCAAAAGAATCCCTAATCTTTTACAAAATTTCCATATTTTTTAAAAATTTCAATATGGGCCCCTCCTTTTCTGATATATACGACACTGCATCTGAGCCGAATATTTTATACGAGGTCGCGGGATCGCGTATCAATTTTGTGTAGGAAAAGGGACGATCAAACTAAAATGATGACACGTCTCGAAATGCGGGCACTCATTCATTTCATTCATTTCATTCATAATAGCAACGTGAGACATGCAAACGAAGAAGAACAAACAGAGAGAGAAAGGAATTTCGGAAACGGAGGTGGTTTTCTGAGCAGAGTGCTTTCTCCATTTTGTGTACACACTCGTAAAAATAGGGTGTAAATATTCCGTAAAAATTTTCCATATAGTTTTTGATTTGCGGATAAAATTGCGTAAATTTTTTACTAACACTGACAAATATGTACAAAAATTTAGTCCAGTGTTGCAAAATAGGTAAGAATAATTAAAAACCGATCCGGTAGAAATGTGAATTTAAAGAAAAATCAGATTCTCAATTTCGAAAAGTTTGCTGAAAAACCCATCTTTTTAGCTAGCAAAAGAAGCAACTGCTAAAGTTAATAAAAATATTATGGGATCAATACCCCCAATTCAAATTTAACAAATTTTCGAACAATTACGATCCAAATTTTAAAGTTGACTCACTGAAAATATTATGCAATCAAGAAACAGTATCTTTTCATTAAAGATACATATCTGTTTAACCCACATATTTTTAGTTCTCGTCGTAGAATTTAGTCAATTTAATTTTAAATGTAAAGCCAAGGCTTCAAAATCTGCAAAATTTAAAATTTACAAAACTCTGTAGTACTTATGTACCACAGAGTTTCGTTCATTTTTAATTTGCTAAGAAACACTTAAATATTGCCCAAAGATGGTCTCAATGTTTCCAAAAAAAATTTAACCATCGTCTGTAGGATTAGGATTGGTAATGCGGAGAATCCGACCCGACCGGATTATCCCCGATTCGGACAATATCCGATCCGTCTGATCGATCGGATCCATATTATAACAAACTACCTGGTAAAAAATCCGATCGTATCCCATCCGTCGGATATTGTCAGATCAGATTTACCAACCCAACCCCTGGGTATCCCCAATCTACCCCGCAATTTCTAAGAGTGCCCACCTGACTGAGATTCGTACCGGAGACAAGGCATCCTCGTAGTAATAATGGTGTCATTTATTTGTCTGATTTCAGGAGACACATGCTTCCCCAAACTAACAATGGAGGAATGGAGGAATTCGAACCTCGAGATGAGTCGGGAATGCTATAAATTCATGGCACAGGAATTTGCAATTTATGGAACGCTTGGGACTTTCACTGAACACGGAGAGATGTAAAATACACTCAAGTCTTCACCGTGGTGGATTCTGAATTTGAAATAGATCACGAAACCAGGCGAAAAAATATATGAAAAAAACTTGAAAAAGCACCAGAGACGAGGGAACAATGGATTCCGAGAGGAAATTGAAGACCGAAACGTTACGTAAGGAAAGACGGGAAAAACCAACCAGGTAGGTACAAAATTTAGGTAAAGGATGGATGGATGTTCACGCGAGATAAGCGGTGGAGCGGTAAATTGTGAAGAAATAGGTTTACATAAGTTTTTTTAAGAGAAGAAAAGAAAACGAATGGAGTTAAAATCGAATTTTTGCAGATAAAAAAAGAAAACGAAAAAAAAAACTTTTGTAATGAGAGAGATGAATTTTGTTTGACAAAAATTTTCAGTGGGATGAATGAAGTAAAAAGTTGTGTTAAGTTTAGAAATTTTGAGGAATTTTAAGCGACAGAACGACCGACGACGGCAAAAATAGGATGAGATACATAATATTGTGTGTTTAAGGGAAGTAAAAAATGACATTTAAAATCGAATTTTATTTTTAAAAAAATATAAAACGGAAAAAAAAGTTTTGCAATGGGAGAGATGAATTTTGTCTGACAAAAATTCTTAGTGGCGTGAATAAAGTACACTCAAAATAAGGTAGTAATGAATTATTACCATGCGGAATGACTATGTGGCTCTACCACATCGGTTACGATTTGTTGTAGAAATGGTAATAATTTCAGGGAAATTCAAATTCATTACCAAATATTAAGGAAATGAATATGACCATTATGTATTAAATTTGAATTTACCTGAACTTATTATTACCATTTCTACGACAAATCGTAACCGACGTGGTAGAGCCACATAGTCATTCCGCATGGTAATGATTCATTACTACCTTATTTTGAGTGTAGAAAATTGAGGAGTGTAAAAAAAATTTGGAAATTTTCTGGTGGAGAAAGACCTTAAAAATGGGATAAGATAGATAGTTTTGTGAAATGCGTAACGCCGTTTTTGAAAATAAGTAGGATATTATTCAAGAAGATTTTACCTTTTCGTGGGTCTGATTGTTTAACAATTTTGAGAGAAATTTTAAGCACAAAACCAATAAAAATGCTAATAAATTGAAAACAAAATAATCGAGTATCATACATGTAAATGCACATAAGTAGCTACTTTTTGCGAAATATGTAACGCCATTATGCGAATTTTTTAATTTAAACGGTCAGGAAGACCGTTTCAATTAATAATAAACCGTAGTAACGTTAGAAGTAGCTCACCCTGTTATAATGATTTGGATATAACTTTGCACCAAAGGTGCTGAATAAGCCTACTATAGATGCATGAGTTTCAAACAATTTTGCACCATTGGTGCAGACGAAATGGGGAAAATTATGACACAATTTTGACATGATTTAGACTTTTTTGGACCCTCGGCAGGGCACTTTTGGTTTGGTTTGCACTTTTGGTTCATATTGAGTCAATTCTTTCAATTGTTTGGCACCATTTTGCGTTATCGCTTGTTTGGAACCAATGGTGCTACCAATGTCCTAAAAAATGGACATGGTCCTATCTAATTAGCATCAATTGATGCAAAAAACTCATTAACAGACAGACGGACAGACAGACAGACAGACAGACAGACGGACAAGAGGAATTCAATAGCTCTCATGCTACGCAGGGTGAGCTAATAACAAGCAATTCTAAGGTTTATAAGGTAACAAGGCAAATAAAAGGGCAGGAATTTTATGAAGTTTCGAAAAATGAAAAATTTTAAGTCTTATTTTTTTACCAAAAATATTAAATGCACTCAAGTATGTTATTTAAAGGCGTTTTATGTATGTATTTTCTTCACAGATATGGATTATTCCAGCGTCGTTCGTGAATTTGATAGAATCACATAACCCAAAAATTGGAAAGATCTTCTGATCCTGGTGTCTGAGTGGGAATCATAATCTACAAAATTGTTCCAATACAATAAGTGAAAGTGGTAAAAGTTTTAAAAAATGGAATGAAATCCAGAATTTTTAAAATAAATTGACTTATCAAACGCCAGTAGAGAATTTCGCGAAAATTAATTATTAATAAAGCCGTAAAAGATGTATGGTTGCTTTTTCACAAGAATTACAATTGCCTCAACCTAAAAATTTCTTACAATTTTGAAAACTATGAAATGCTCCCGATAAATCATGAGGACTTTAATCACATCAAATTTTGTGATCATAAGAAGTAAGCTTTAACACCATGTGACTTTTTTTAACGAAAAAAAAATTCGTAAAATTTTGAAAACTATGAAATTCTCCTTATAAATAAATCAACCCAGTTAAATGAGGACTTTACTCACGTCGAGTTTCGTGGTCGTGTGGCTGACCACGTGTCCATACGCGAGCCACTCGCCACACCCGCCCCTTGATCCACTGGAAGGTCCCCATTTGCACGGGAGGAACAATGAAACGGTCGGATTTATGGGGGACACGTCCCGATTTGGTCGAGGGGGAGGAACGTCAGCGTCATCTTCGTCACCCTGGACTTTCTCCTCGACCGCGGCCAGATCGCGGATCGTGGAGACGAAGTATGGGCGCGTGCAGGGGCTTTCAGTCACCCTGTTTTCAAACCTGCATTACTCCGGGAATCGGAATTTCCCCCTGAAAAATAAAATTGTGGAGGTGAGAATTTTGAAAAATATTTGGAAATCTGAAATTCACGTTAGTAGAATTTTGAAATTTTTATAAAATATTAAGTCATGTCAATGTTGAGATTATTCACTTGTTACTTTGGAAGTTAAATCAATTAAAATCAAAGTGTAAAAGTAAAATTTTATGAAAATTTTTGCAAAATTTGTACAGTTGAGTACCAGAAATTCATTTAATGCATTTAGTGCATTTAGTATATAGCAATTAAAGTGAAAAGCATAACAATAGAATTTTGTAATTTTCATAAAATATTGAGCCATGTCACTTGACATTATTCGCTTGTAACTTTGCAAGTTATATGAATTAAAGCGACATAAATAACACATTGTATGAAAACTTTGCAAAATTTGTACAATTGAGTAGCAGAAATTTATTTATTAATTTATAAATTCATTTATTGATTTTTTAAAATTTTGTACAGATCTACATGTCCATACCGTACGCCGCTCCGCCGATAAAATCTCATCGATTTAGCCCCACACAAACGCCGGTGCCGTGGAACGATGTCAAAGCGACGATTCAACCATCACCCGTTTGTCCCCAGGTAAGTCTTAACATGAAATTAAACGCAATCTTAATCTGCGTTAATTGCCGTAGGCAATTTACGCAGTCCTTGAAAAGTTTTAAAATTCGTACTCTTCGAAAAATAATTTTACGAACTTTTACTAAAAGACGTCCTTGATCTGAGCAAGTTTATAAAAAATTGTAAGCCAATTTTCCTAAGAAATAGTTGTAAAAGTTTGTAAGTTTACAGAATTTACGGATTTTACAAAATTACCAAAGCCTGTATGAATTTCCCTAGTATAACGCACGCAAATCGTAAATAACAGCTTTCCTCTATTAACAACTCTAATAATAAAGATTTGTTTAAACAATTTTTTAACAAAAAAATCCTTTCCTCCGTAATTTCTGAAAAAAATACAAATTTCCTGAAAAAATTTCTGTCATTCTATTTTGATAACAATGTTACCAAATTTTTTACTTTACACCAACCAAAATTGTGTCAGTATCCACTACGGTGTAACCAATCTAACCTCGTCAAATTGTATTTAGTTTTCATACATAAAAAAATTCTGAGGTTTTAGTCTGACAAAATAAAATCCTATCATAATTCGTTCATTGATTTGCTCTGATATTGATTGGAAAACGATTAAGCGTGACGGATTTGATTTGAATTTCAGCCCGCTCGCAATGTTAATCAAGTGAACACGTGTGTTTGGCGGGCAGAAATTCCATCACGTTAATTTTTCCCAATCAATAGTTATCTGTTTGCAGGTAGTGATTTTACCAAAATGGTAATAACGTAACTAAATATAAGAAACTTGTTTAATATGTTTACCGCGAAACTAAAATTTGTCCCCAATCGGCAGCAAACTTAACCGCCACCAAATCAATCAAGGGCATCTTTTTAAAAGATCTGAGGAAGTTTACAAAAGATGTGAGCTAATTTCTGTTGGAAATGTTTTTAAAATTTTGTAAATTTACAAAATTTACAATGTTACCAAGCATAGGGAACGTTACGAAGAAAACTTAGTTTATTGATCGCGCCAAAAATTATCTAAAATTTACCAAATGTACCGTCCTTCTCCTGCATTAATTACCCGTTAGTATAACACCAGGACATTGACAAATTGCCGCGTTCAATCTATCCAATCCACCCCGCGAAAATGTGAAATAGTTCATAATCCCGAAAATCAATCACCTCCTAGAAACTTAGCTAAATCTCTTTATTGGCGGGATAATCAAGTAGATTATGAAGTCCCTTGCGAATTCTTCAGTATGTGAAAGTGAAATTAGTCTATAAAAAATGGAATAAATCCCAGAGCCCCAATTTCTTTAAGAGTCTTCGGCTCACACAGTGGCCACGGAAGCGTTGGGACAGAGGGACAATGTCGCAGTGGTTGTTCGATGTCTCCATCATCTCCCCATGTTATGTAAACCCCTCCCTTCTCTATCATACAATTAGCATACTCACGTCAACCTTGGCATATTTCGCATATCTTGCAAATTGAACATAACTTGCGAAGTTAGATTTGCGAAGATTTGCGAGATTTCGTAAAAAATTTGGCTGGAAAACCATATGATTTTTTTCGCCAATTTACCCAGCGATTAGGCATGTTCCTATTTCGCAAAATTATTTCGCAAGCTTATCCTCACCATCACCACTTAAAGAAATTACAGAAATTTATGGACACAACATCAAAATAAGTGTTTTAGTAAATTTTCGAGATTGGCGAAGTCATATTTTGCGAATCCCGTCAAATATTTTGATCTTGGCAAGATTGCTAAATCCGAGTTGCGATACGAAATAAGACATTGTTGTGAGTACGGCCAATGTTAATGTCCCCACGGCTTCCGCGGCCACTCTGCACATGGCGAGTATTTAAGAATGTTCGCAATCAGCTCCAATCAATTTAATCCTTTCAGAGAATTGAGGTCATTAAGAAGAGGAGAGAGAGTAAGGGAAGGGAAGGGAAGGAAAAGGACCCAATTCCTCATTTTTGAAGCGCAGCTGAAAGTGAAAGTGAAAAGTGGTCCGCTTTTCACTTTCACTTTCACTTTCTCCAAGTGCACATAAATTATATCCGTCGGGTATTCAATTAAGAGTAATTTCGGGAATGGAGGCTGAGAGCGAAAAAAAGTGGGCAAGAAAAAAGTCGGGGTGATCATATTTTGGGGAAAGTACACTCTTAAAAATTAATTAGGCTTTGAATTAGAAATTTTATGGGTGTTTTTTTCCTGTAAAAATCTTAAGAGAAATTGTGCTCAAGGTGGTAAATAACAAAATAAACTGTAGTTACGTAATTAAATATTAACTAATTTGCAATCCGTAATGAAAAGTAAACAAATTACTAAAAAATGACAAAAATGTGGTATAAAAAAATAACATTGGTTTCACCAAATTTGAAAAACAATGTAATTAACTTTAATATCGTTCAATAGATATTGAGCCAATTCCTGGTAGCATAGTAAAATCCGGAAACTTTTACAAAATTATACACAAATTTTGACAAAATTAACGTACAAATTTTGTGTACATTATTTATTTTTATTTTCATTAACATTATTTTGTAAAATTTACAAAGCTATCAACGACTGCGTGAACTGCCTCATTATTCAATATAAAGGCAAAACCGGGTCAAAATAATGCCCAAATATAACTCGTTATTAGCCCTGAAAAGTAAAATTTTCTGCCAGGCACTGAATAAAACGGTTTTCTGAATTTTTTTCCGCATTTTTTAAGAGCGTCGGGTAAAAATGTGTTGGCAAAAATGAGTTGGTGAAAGTGGGAGGAGAAAGTTTGGTTTAGGAAATGAGAAAGAAAACCATTTACCAATTTCAAGCTTGACTTCACCCACACACATTTCTCTCTCTTCGTCCTCTTCCTCCTGCTGCTTATGGCGGTGGTGGTAATATGTCTAATTAGAACACTGGGGGAGATTAAACGGGTACGATTTTTGGAGGAATGGAGTCTCTTTTTTTGCTAAAAGGATGACAAATCTCAGAATAAAAAATATATGTAAGTAGCTTGCCTTCAACACTTGCTTAACATGTGGACAGATCGAATTTGAAAATGTCGGATTTCGACACCGAAAATAAATTTTATGACAACTTGAGAGAAGTCAATTAAACTAGATGTCCTTTAGATATTGTGAGCATAGGCCAGGTATGCAATTATGTATGTGTGAATTATTGTGCATAAACTATGCAGATTTATGTGTGTATCAATCGATTCGTTATAATGTCGATTCCAAAAATAAAGCAGTGCGAAATCAATTCATTTTTTGGTGGTTGGTAAACGTGACAAATTCTCTTCTCTTTATTTCTTTCCCCTTTCGAAGTCCAGAACATAATAATCCCATCATCATCCTCCCCTCATTTACTCAACCATTTCTTTATCCCCTTTTTTCTTAACAAAATACATAATCTTAACCTAATTCTTATATACATACATACATGGGTTTCATGCATAAATTGTACACTGTCGTTGTATTGTCGTCACCCTCCCATCCGGTGGTGAGAGAGGTGAAAGATCAACCTCACACCAGCCATTCCAGGCCAGTTATTATTTGACACAGTCTGGCCAGAGGAGAATAAAATGTACGAATGACATCATGTTGCTGCTGCTTGGCCAGTGTGGTGGTGTCGTGTGAATTTGCGAAGTTGACGATAATGAAGTTTACGCTGCGAAATCCGTGCGACAATTTATGCAGATTTTTTTCATGTGGATTTGTATATGCCAATTTTTACAGGCCGCTCATAGTATGTACTCGGATGATAATTCATTACCAACCAGATAACCCAAAATTTCGTTATGTGATATTTTCATATCGTAATTATGTCCATACCATTTGGACACTAATTCAAAAAATGCCGATCGGGAATTTGTTTTAATTTCTTCAACTGATTTTGCAATGCTTTCAAAATTTGGATAAGTCGGATTTGGACGCCGATTTCAAATTAGATTACATTTCAAATTATCTTGATGGCGTAACAGGTTAAAAACAACGAAAAAAATGTAAAATAATTTCAACAGTACAATTAAAGTAAATGCAAATTTGCTCCCGTTCTGGTGATAAATATTGAGCCAATTCACGCACTCCTTGGTAACTTTATAAAATCCATAAATTCCGCAAACTTACAAACTTTTACAAAAGTTTACAATAATTTTGAAGTAAAATTAGCCTAAGGAATCTAAAGGATGACAAATCTCGAAAACCGTAAAAATACTTAATTTCAATAATAAAATTAATAACAGCAATAAATTCAAATTTGCTCCAGTAAATATTGAGCAAATTCACGCAGTTTGTTTAGTAACATCGTAAATTCTGCAAACTTACAAATTTTTACAAAAGTTTATAAAACATTTTAAAGAAAATTAGCTTAAAGGATGACAAATCTCGGGACAAAAATAAATATAGCTTGTCTTTAACACGTTCTGAACATGTGAACGGATTGAGTTTGAAAGAAATCAGATTTGGACGCCTAAAATAAAATTAAGTACAATTTGAAAGTTCCTAGATTGAAATAGATTGCTGATTTTGATGGCCTAATTTTGAGGAAACTTTGGAATTTGTATTTTTAATTATTTTTTTTATTCTGTAATTCCTATATTACTTGATTATGTTTCTTGACTATTTACATATCTATGTCCATATCATTTGGACATTTGCCCAAAAAATTCATAAAATACCGACCGTAAACTTGTTTTCATCTGTTCAGCTGTAACTGTACTTATTTTTGTAACGCGTTCAATATTAGAAAAGTCAGATTTGGACGCCGAAAAAAGGATAAATATTGAGAAAGTGTGTATCTAAATTTGGAATAGGTTGGTTGTAATATTTTTCTATATACAATAAATTTTGTAATAAATTTATATGTACATACACTCAAAATAAGGTAGTAACGAATCATTACCATGCGGAATGACTAATGGTCTCAACGGTGCGGTTCGGTTCGGTTCTTGGAAGAACCGGTTTAGAACCGAGAACCAGAATTGAAGAACCGAAACAGAACCGAACTTTTTTTAGTTGGAACCGAACCGGCGGTTCGGGTCAAACCGGTAGTGTTATTAATATGCAATAAACAACAAACAATGCTAATTGACGTGTTTCTGATGAAATTTCACATATAAGCCAATAACTTATCTGTATTTAAACAAGCAAATTCTAATACATATCAACAGCAAAACCACTTATGTATATATTATTGAAGTTAGAAAACAATTCCAAGTTTGGGGTGCAACCAAGTCAAAATTTCATTTTGGAAACATTGGGGGTGTGACCAAGTAAAAATTTCATTTTGGAAACATTGGGGGTGTAACCAAGTAAAAATTTCATTTTGGAAACATTGGGGGTGTAACCAAGTCAAAATTTCATTTTGGAAACTTTGGGGTGTGACCAAGTAAAGATTTCATTTTAGAAACTTTTGGGGGTAAAAATTTCGTTTAGGAAACTTTGGGGGTGAAAATTTCATTTTGGAAACTTTGGAGGTGTCATCAAGTCAAAATTTGGTTTTGGAAACATTGGAGATGTAACCAGGTCAAAATTTCGTTTTGGAAACATTGGGGGTGTGACCAAATAAAAGTTTCATTTTGGGAACTTTGGGCGTGTCATCAAGTCAAAATTTGGTTTTGGAAACATTGGGGGTGTGACCAAGTCAAAGTTTCATTTTGGGAACTTTGGCAGTGGGGCCACGTCAAAATTTCATTTTGGAAACTATGTGTATTTCGGGAAATTCGTAAAACTTTTTCGAAAATATGATTAACTTCGCTAATGTATTTGTGTATGAAGTTCGGTTCAACCCGAACCGGCCGGTTCGGTTCGGTTCTCAAAGACTTGGAACCGGAACCGAACCGGTAATAAAAGTTTCGGTTCGGTTCGGTTCTCCGTATAAACCGGAACCGAACCGAGCCATCGGTTCCGGTTCGGTTCTATGAGAACCGAGAACCGTTGAGACCACTAGGAATGACTATGTGGCTCTACCACGTCGGGTACGATTTGTCGTAGAAATGGTAATAATAATTTCAGGGAAATTCAAATTCATTACCAAATATTAAGCAAGTTAATACAATTGTGTATTAAATTTGAATTTCCCTGAACTTATTGTTACCGTTTCTACGACAAATCGTAACCGACGTGGTAGAGCCACATAGTCATTCCGCATGGTAATGATTCATTACTACCTTATTTTGAGTGTAGAGGATTGGATAATTTTGATACAAACTAATTTTAAGCGTGTTTTTAACCTTGAGTTTTTTATTTTTGTCCCATCATGACGTGAGATTGTGGTTATCGTGCCTCATTTTAAGTATGTCCACGCTTGAAAACTTTACACGGATACAAAGTAGCTGGAAAAGTAACGCCGGCTACAGATACTTTATTATCAAACCACTCGTTCACTAAAAGCTGTGGTGAAAATGACTTCATATTGAACGGGCTCAATGCTCAATTCGGTTCATGATTGGTTTTCAATACCACGTGATATTCAACCGCGTTCAGCTTCTTGTTTAATCCAAACAAGAATTTTGTAGTGGCGTGTGTGTGTGCGTTACCATTTGAACTTGGCGCTGGATTTTACATTAGCCCAAACGAGCTTAACCTTTGGACGGGTTACTGAACACGTAATAAGTGAAATACGAGTGTGTAAATTTGTAGGAAGGAACTGTTTTCAATTTCCATTTGACATATTAAATTCTGAAAATTTGAGAAAAAAATCTAGTCTAAAATTAGAATATTTTCCATTAGATCTTCCCGGATATCCGGAACGAATCCGCGGCACTCAGAGAAATGCCCAAGGGGTACTTGGAGTACCTCCGGAGAGTTGAACCCTACCTCCGCAACCAATCCGAAGACTGTCTCTACCTTAACATCTTCTCCCCAATTGGTAAGTACACTCTTAATAATTGTGGCATAAAAAATTGATGAAAATATGACGGCGTATTGGACTTATTATGTATGAAGATGGAGGAATTGTTACCAGCGTAGTAGTAATTTCGAAATCAGTGGGATTATTTTCACTAGAAAACTTTTTATTTCGTGGAAATCTTTGCTCATAACTTGTAAAAGTGCGAACTATAAATTGTGCTCAGAATGGCACAAAATGTGTAAACATGATATAAAATTGGTAAAAACTACATAAAATTTAAAATTGGTAAAACTGGAATCAAATTGGTAAAAAATGCATACACTTTAATGTTGATAAAAAAATGACAAAATTTAAAATGGGTAAAAATTACACAAAATTTAAAATTGGTAAAAATTCCATAAAACATAAAATTGGTAAAAACAACCAACATAAAATGTTCAAAATTACATACAATTTTTAAATTCCTCCCAACTTATTGTGCCAATTTCACCCAAAATTTTTAGTGTTCCCTCCTCGTGACACATTTTAATAATAATTCTGTCCCCATCGTGTCCCTAGTGTCGCGTAGAGAGATTTTACATTAATTTCGATGTAAGTAATATGCCCACAAATTTGTGCCCGGTAATGGATGGGATTAGGATTTAGGATGGCCTCCGGTCCTGGTAACGAATGAGTAGTCTCGTTCGTATCATAGGAGAAAGTAGAGGAGAGATCCTGCCTGCCTGCCCGGCATATAAATCTCGTCGAGGTAACAATCCGTAGCCTACAATCTAATACGAAACTAAACTCAACTAAAGTGAGCAGCACCACACGGGACACGGGAAGTTTATAGAAAATCGAATTTTCCACAATCGACGACGCCAATGTTTGTTGCATCGGGAGTTTGGAGAAAGTTGAGTGGAGGGGAAAGTGTGTATTAGTTTGGGGGAAAGTTGAGACAGCGAAAGTTATTGCGGGGATAGACATGCTGCAGAATATTATGCGTTTTAAAGGAATTCAAAATGTGAATTTTTACTGTATTTCTTTACCGCGGGGTAATAAATGTTGACAAATGAACTAGTAAATTTACCTGAAATTGAGGGGCAGATAGAGAGACAGGGCTCGTTAAAATAGTATGATTTGCTTTAAATTTAATGCGTGGATTTTTACTGTATTGTTTTTTTACCGTTGGGTAATAAATAGTGACAAAGTAGTTGATAATTTTCAAAAATTAAGTTAAGTTGGTCGGATTTTTAACTACATTCTTGTACAGAATTGTATGAAATATTCTGAACTAAAGTGAGCACACGAGATGTGAGTAGTTTATAGAAAATCGAGTTTTGTACCATCGACGACGTTGTTCGTTGCATCGAGAGTTGGAGAAAGTGGAGTGTAGTGGAAAGTGTGTATAAGTTTAGAGGAAAGTGGGGAAAGTTGAGATTGTTAAAATTATTAAGGGGACAGATAGACAGAGTGCTTCGATAAATAAGTAAATAATATTATGCGGTTAAAATTTAATGCATTTTTTCAGTATTTTTTTTACTGTTTGGTAATAGATACTGACAATTAGTTCATATTAAAAAAAAATAAGCTAATTAAGTTTGATTTAACGGTGGAAATGGGATTTTAACCGCAGTTCTGATAAATATGAAATATTCTGCCCTTTCAAACTCACAGGGTATTTTAGAAACCTGTACAAAATTTAGCGCTTATAGTTATTTAATAATTTGGTTTACGGCGTGAGAATTTACAAAAATAAGTCAATTTCCATAAACCCTAAATTCATTAAAAATATATACCCCTATCAATGAAATATTTACACATGCAGTTGCAATATTTCATAAAATATCAAATCCGTGAGATAAAAAATGGCTAAAAAACCCCACTTTATAGCAACCCTTCTTCCATGCAAACTTTCTATAAAACTATCCAGAGAAAAAAAAATCTGCACGAAAAATTTGTTATCCAAAACTAAAATTCGTTTCGATTCGATTCCAAGGAAGGAGGGAAGTGAAATGAAATCACGTAATTTTGTGCATCGACTCTCCACTTCTCTTCTCCTCTATCCGAGTATATATTGGTTGTCATGTCCCCAGTAAATTTAGGAGTTTGGCTTATCTGCAAAGTATGTAAGTATGGCTTAGCTTAGTAGCCAGCCACCACCAACCAACCAACCAAGCAAGCAACCATGCATACATTTACGCGACTGAAAAAGAGATAGTCCGTCGGCTAAGCCGGAGCTGAGATAGCGGAGCAGTCGCCGCGGAAACGTTGGGACAAGGGGACAATGTCCCCTCATCCGCCCAGGTCTCCGGTTGATTTACATAATTTATTTTGCATAATACCCATCTCGCATAAAGGGAATTTGTCTAATTACAAATTATATAAAACTACAATTTCGCATAATTTGTATTTTTGAATAATTTGAATTTTTGCATAATCTTATTTTTCATTTGTTTCGTGTATTTAGTACGAAAGTTTATGATCCAGCATAACTTTTATACCAAACCGGTAGCAATTTTAATACCGAGAAATCAATACCTGCTTGATTACTACCAGATTTCGAACAGTATAAAATTATGCGATATCAAATTATGTAAAAATTTCGTATAAGTGGAAATGTGTTTGGTCAATAAAAATTATACAATATGACCCTTATGCAAAACACCATTATGCAAATCAACCCAGAACTTCCGCCCATATTATATACACCCCTATCCTACAATGTTAATGTCCCCCGATGTCCCCACGGCTTCCGCGGGCATTGGATCTCGGCGGAGAAAGAACAGCTTTTGCCTGCTCTTTCCTCTCCCGGTGGGGAAAACACGGTTGAAAGTTTGTCATCCGGTTTTGGAAGAGAAAATCTCTCCCGATAATCCGCTTTCTCTCCATTTCCATCCATTTTCTTGGCCAGATTTCCATCTTTCTTCCAATAATCCGCTGCCACTGAGCAGCTCAAAGCGGAGGAAAGATAGAGAGGAAAATGTGTGTCTGATCCAATTTCCTCCTGGAGGTAGCTGCCTTGAGAGATTTTTGGAACTTGGTCAGGTATATCGAGTGCTGGAAATGTTATGCTACTAGTAAAAATAAAGCAAACGTGTATGTATGTATGTACATATTACTTTCTTAATGCTTCCCTAAGGCGTGTAATTTATTCATATATCGTCAGGCTTAATAAATTAAATTAATATTTCGACAAAAAATCTATAAAAAATTAAATCTCCGTAAAATTTGAAACACATAAGTCAATATCAACGAAAATAAATCTCAGCAAAAATTCAATCGTCAAAATATAAACAATTAGGTTTACAAATTTATCAGTTCAGCTTTATTTTTACTAGTAATAGGATTAATGTGTAAATCCTTCATGAATTCTTAGGATTGTGTCCATTATTTAAAAACGATGACGGTAACTCAAAATCTCACTCATGAGATAATCCTAGCATTGTTTTATAACCCCAATAAATTCAGCAACATATCGTATATTTACACTCATTTATTTGTGCCCGAAAATTTGTCAAAATCCCACAAAATCGGGGGTGGGATACTCCTAGGGGTGCGATTGATAAGGGGTGGCATCTACAGGAGTGCGATTGCTCGGGTGCGAATGATCGGGGGTGGCATCATCCTAGGGGTGGCAATGGTGGGGTGCGTTAGCCGGGGTGCGATTGATGGGGTACGATTGATCGGGTGGCATCATCCGCAAATCCATTTACATAAATATTCACGTAGTACATAGTTTGCGAAATAATGCTGCTAAATAAAAACATGCCAATTTGCTAAGTAAGTAGGTCAACATTTCAGTTAAATGTATCATTCAAAATAAAATTGTATTGCTAAGTTTTTCCCAGAAATTAACAAAATACCTTAAAAGATTCAACGTCTATTACAATAATTTTGAATTTCAAGTAATCGTTATTGATAAAAGAGGTAGAAAATTGCGTATTTCTGTTTTATACGAAATGTAAAATTAGTTAATAAAATAAATTAGTTAGTATAATTAGTTTCATTAGCTAAATGTGACAAATATTTAAAATTAATAAAATAAAATTGTATTGTTAAAGTTTCCAAAAAATATGTAACAAAATGCGCAGAGAAATTTAAAAAATTGACGTTTATTGAGATAATTTAGCAATTTGTAAAATAATTTTACAAAAGTTCGTAACACAAGATAACGATTCCCTTGATCTGAGTAAGTTTATAAAAATTTGTTAGCTTATTTTCCTTCAAAATATTTGTAAAATTTTGTAAAAGTTACATGTAAATTTACTGATTTTGCAGGTTTTACAAAGTTACATAGCACTGTGTGACTTGTCTCAATATTTACGTACCTACATATTTCAATTTTCCATTCCAAGAATAAATTTGTATAATATCAAGCCACATTTTTTGCGTAGAATGTAAATTTCAAACATTTTTATAAAAATTATGGTGACGAAAAGCATGTCGATTTTTTTAGGTCTTTTAAAAAGTACTTTCTCCCGTGGAGTGGAAGGAAATGAGGCACGATTTTTTCTCACGTGCTACATTTTACTCTGTCATTTTGCTTTTTTTCGTATTCTGAGACGAGTCAGGTTTACGTTTTTTGTACACTTTTCTTCTTCTTCCCTTCGTTTTCGGACGGACGGATTGAAAGGTCTTCATAATAAATTGTAAAGAAAAATAAAATGAATGAGTAGCTGAGGCGAGAGTGAAATGAAAGGTTGGTTTGGTACTAGGTATGCATGTGCTTGCCCTGCACACGGTAAAAAAGGAGGGAATACTTACATTTATTATTTGGTAGTGTTCGTATTTTTACCGGGAGGTTAAAAATCTCTTGTAACAATTTGTTACCAATTGGAAATAACAAAATTTGAGAAATATCGTGCTTAGAATTAGTTTATAACTGGCTTAACGTATTACAACTCAAATTATCAAATTAGTAATAAGATGGGTACATTGGTAACACGGTAACTAACAAGATTGGTAAATTGGTAGCAGGCTACCGGTAACAATGGAGATCATTTTTTGCTAAAATATGACCAAAAATGCTTGATAAC